TCCTGCACGGTGCTGGTGGACTCCAGGTCAGAATGGAGCCCAGCTGGAGCAAGGGAGGATGTCACATTCAGCACAGGGACTTCAGTGGGGCAAGCATTCCCCTCTCGTGGATGCTTTGGCCCCAGTCTCTATCTGCTGTAGCAGGGAGAACTAGCTGTGAGCAGAGGTGGGCAGGATTACACAGCCCAAGAGGAGTGAGGAGCCATCAGCGACTAAGGGAGCCAAAGCCTTCATTTGGTTTTAATACAGCTAAGACAGATCTCCCGTTCGTGAGCTTCCCTGTGGAGTGGGGCACAGCAGAGGCTCAGTGCCGCTCCAGGACCCGACCCGGCACTGAGGGGAGGAGAGTTATGCGCCCTGGGCTCAGGGATGGTGCTAGGAGTTCGAGTGCCCGTGCGCCGGTGCCAATAGCAGAGGCTCCTCGCCCGGGCAACTTAGCTGGAGCCCGTGGCGAGCTTTCCCTGGGCCTGCCTTTTCGCCCATGGTGACGGCGGAGGCGGAGGGGCCCAGCAGTCGCAACAGCAAGAGGGGCGGTCGGACTGGGTATCAGGGAGGCAGGGTTTTCTGTTTTGTCGCTCCTGCATGGGAAAAGAGACAGGGGAGGGGCAGACTGCCGTTATCAAAGTCAAAGGGAAGCCAGCCACGGTGCCTGCACCATACTCTGTAACAAAATGGTTTGACCCAGAGTAGGGGGAGTTCTCTGGACAAGCTCTCCCAGGTGACAATATAGGGAACCTGGTTTGGGTGGCCATAAGGGTCAGCCTGGAAGACTTTTTCTTTAACCTGCAGAATAGTATCTAGATTGAATGTCCCACCCTGTGGCCAGTCCATTTTAAAAGTGAGCCATTCCAGGAAGCAGACCTCTTGCCAGCATTTCTTTCGGATTTCCATAGCTGGGTCTGCAGCTTCTCTCTAAAGTTAAGAGTTAGGGTCAAAAGGTGGTTATTTATTGCCCCATGGTACCAGATTTAGACTCGAGTACAAACAGATATACAAAAACAAAGGCACGAAAAGCCAAAACCAAACTCAAAATCAGAAGCTGCGCAGCACTACAGATTCAGATGAAGGTGAGGGACAAAAAGTCGTGCCTCCTGGGAACTAGAGGAGTGACCTGGTCACTCTTAGCTCCTTCGGTGAGCCCCAAAAATCGGGCTCCTCTGATTCCCGGAACGTCTTCCAGGGTGGTCGGGGAGAAGTCTAAGACCGTCAGCTCCTTCTCAAGCCGCATACAGATAAAGCCGCATACAGATACAGAACGACTACGTAGCTGATTTCCAAACACTGTGCAAACAAGGGCAGACAAGCAAACAGAAAACATAAAATATCAGACTTCTGGCCAGCTTACCTCCTGGTGGGGTTGTTGGAGCAGGGGTCTCCAATATCTCGATGGGACCTCCAAATGAAAGACCCCAGAAGTCAAGGGGGTCTCACTTGGAGCCCTCTGCCCAAGAACCAGTCCACTGGATGCAAGAACAAGAGGCAGTTTAATGAATATACACAGGTGCCTATGGATGCTACAGCAACCCAGTTACTGAGCATGCCAGGCTGAAGGCACATTATGTATTTATAGGGATTTAAGAGTTGCATAAGAGGCTGCAGAGCAACAAGCATTTCAGTGGTTCTCAAATTGGTGGGCTTAGCTCACCCCGGGAATGGCCCCATGTCTATTCCCGAATTTCCCCGAAAAGCCACAAAGCTAGATAGAGAACCCTGCAGCAAGTTGACAGTTTCGATAGAATGCCTTGCAGGTGGGGTACTCCCTCTCCTCAGCCTAGTCAGCAAGTCTGCAACCCATAGATGTTCTGTTTTAGCATTGGCTGGGCCCGGGGAACTTTCCTTCTGTGGCCCAGCTAAATTTCGCACAGTCATTAGCTGAGCCTTGGGGCTTTTTTTCTATGGCTCAGTTAAGTTTCAGCAGAGTTTAACATAGTATGTGGACATGGGGGGTCTTTCAAGTATGGGGGGGCCTTCAGTCCCTTTTGAAGTGATTCTACATAGTGTGAAGTTGATAAGTGACTTAATCATCACACAGGCATTGTGGCACGCGGCCCTTACTCCCTCCTGAACTGGGGACGCAGAGACAAGAGACAAGCAGCTCTCTGTAAGTCTAATGTGTTCCAAGGCAGCCAGGGCTAGAGAGAGAGAGAGAGAGAGAGAGAGAGAGAGAGAGAGAGAGAGAGAGAAAGAGAGACAGAGAGAGACCTTATCTTGAAAACATCAAAGACAAACAAATAAAAACAAAGACAAAAAAACAAAAGGGTTAAGACAAAGAGAGCAACTGGCTGTGGTGGCATATGCCTTTAATCCCAGCTCTCAGAAGGCAGAGGCAGGTGGATCTCTGTGAGTTCAAAGCCAGCCTGGTCTACAAGAGTTAGTTCCAGGACAGCACCAAAACTATAGAGAAACTCTGTCTAAAAAAAAAAAAAAAAAAACAAGAAAGTGCTTAGGGAAAAGAGAAGACACAGGCAAGAGTTGGTGCGGAATCTCCAAGGAAGTCAAGTAGGTGGCTGAGCAGTGGCCATATATGTGATTTTGAGTGGCTCCTGAAATTCCAAAAAATTGCTAAGGAATTCTTTTCTTTTCTGCTTCTCTTTTGTTTTTTATTATTTTATTTGTTCGGTTAGTTAGTTTTGGTTTTTCGAGATGGTTTCTCTGTGTGACCCTATCCATTCAGAAACTCAGTCTGACCTTGAACTCAGAGATTTACATGCCTCGGCCTCCTGAGTGCTGGAATTGAAGGTATGTGCCACCATCACCCAGGTCATTTTTTAATATGTATGAGTGTTTTGCCAAAATGTCTATCTGTGCATGTTTGGTGCCTGAGAAATTACCTCCCTTTCAAAAACTAAATAAAAGACTGGAGCTCAGCAGTTAAGAGTACTGACTGCTCTTCCAGAGGACCTGGGTGTAATGGTCTGTCCTGTCCCTTTAAGACACAAGCCCCACCTACTACCTCCCCTATCCACCTCGGAGACAGGGAGATCTTCTTTCCTGCCTGCAGCCCAATTCTTTCCTTCTCTGTCTCTCTCCCAAAGAGGTAGCTGCTGCTGTAGGTAGCTGCTGCGGGACTACTCTCCCCCTCCCCCACCGTTACTCCTTCTCCCCTTGCTCCCTCTCCCCTTCCCTTCCATAACCCACCAAATAAATACCCACTTCCTCTACAATAGCATGCCTACCGGTCTCAGTCTCTCTCACCCACCATGCAGCTCTGTGCCAATGAACCCCCTGGCCCTCACTGCCTGCAGGCCACTTGGAGGCTCCCTGACTGGAACCCAGATGCCTTGGTGGCCCTCCGCGACCTGCAACATTTCTGCCGCTACCCACCCTCAGGGAACCTGCACATTTTATTTAACCATAACACCGGGTTCTGCTGCCATCAGTCCCATGTCAGCTCATAGCCGTCTGTGACTACAGACCTTCAGGACTGTTCATCGCTATTTTACCATTATTTTAAATTTCTCTATATAAAAGGAATATTGGCCAAATGTGGTAGCTCAAGGCCTTTAATTTTGGCACTCCAGAGGCAGAAGCAGGCAGATTGCTGTGAATTCAAGACCAGCCTGGTCTACATAGCGACTTAGGACAGCCAGGACTACACAGTGAGGCCTGGCCTCCAAAAATAAATAAATAAATAAATAAATAGATGAGTGTGATATCTGTCTATAGACAACTTTCACAGAGATTTTATTAATTGGTGGTGCTCTTGCCCTTCAGCAGGCAAGAGATGTCGCCAGGCTCTGGGGAGAGGACTTCCTTTGTCTTTCTTTCCTGCCTCAGACCTTCTCCTGCTAAGGGAACATGAAAGATTACTTACAGAAATTATTCTATCTCCAGACTGTCTGGAGGCTGAAAAGACTGGGGTGGGCAGAACTCCTAATCATAACCTGCCCCCAAGTGTGCCCATCACATCAGCACCATGTGCCCCCGCTCTCACCACGGCCCATGCAGCCCATCGGAGGATCAGGACTTAACTGCATGTAGTTTATTGGGGAATGCAAGCCCGGGCTGCACAGGAGAGCATGTGTGCTGTTTTCTATGGCTGTAAGGAAAGACTGTGGCTGATGGGGAGAGGAGCACAGTCTGCTTCCTTTGGGTTGGCTTTCAGGCTGCTCTCTTCCTTCTCCCAAGGTTCACATAGCTAACGTTCAACCAGCTCCAGACTTTTCCCCTGAACTGAGCCTAATTCTCAAAACCAGCTCATCTCCTTGCTCTGTGTCCTGTTTCTCCATGCCCTCCAACCTTGCCCCATCACTCCAGACTACAGCTGCCAGGTCTTGTGCCAGATGGATGCCCATCCTCTGAGGCTTTATGTTCACCTGACTTTCAAAGCTTGGCCCAGGACCCAAGAGCTGACCCTATGCTCCGAAGTCCCTCCCAAATGCACCAGGCTTTAGTCTTCCTAACAGCCACAGATGCTGCAGTAGGGACTGACTCACCTTCTAGGGCAGCCAAACCTGGACCAACACAAGATCCCAGAAGTTCGAGGAGAATGGGCCATTTGTCTTTTATTCTTCCTGCAATTTTATAGAATTTGCCCCATGCCTGGCACTGCTTCAGGCTCTGCCTGTTTTGTCCAGTTAATCTTCACAACAACCAAATGGTTGGTTTTATAGATGAGAAAAGCGGAGCATGCAGGGAGTCGAGAAACTCCCACCAAGGGCTCAGCTTTGGAGAGAGGATCAAGTGGGAGCCAAAGGGATCAAGTGATACCATCACCACTGCCCTAGGTCCCTTCCTCCCTCCCCGCCCCCTCCCATTCTCCCCACCACCTCCCTCTCTTTCTCTCTGTGTCTCTGTCTCTGTCTCTGTCTCTGTCTCTCTCTCTCTCTCTCTGTCTCGTGTGTGTGTCTGTGTGTGTGTGTGTCTGTGTGTGTGTGTCTGTGTGAGTGTGTGGTGCTGGGGGTCAAATCCGGGACCTCAAATAAGCACTGAGTTATCCACCCACAACAAATAAGGGAGTTGTGTTTATTTGAGACAGGGTCTCACGTAGCCCAAGCTCACCTCAAACTTGCTGTGTAGCCAAGGATGACCTTGAACATCTGATCCTCCTGACTCCATCTCTGAAGTGTTGGATTCTTGAACCACACTCCGTTCATGTCATCCTGGGTTAAAACACAGGGTCTCGTGCACTTGCAGAAACACACTGCCATCTTAGTCACATTCTCAAACCCTACGTGTGGCCTTTGGCTGTGGACAGCAGAAGCCAAGTCTGCAGGCTGGCTTCCTCCCTATATCCAAACACTGGATCTGGGCCGCAACAGGGGCCTGTCTCTACAGCTCTCACTTCCAGCTTGTCGTCTCGCTCCCCTTTTCCCCTTACCTCTATGCCAGCTCTGTACAGAGCACAGTTCTGCCTCCTGGAAACTCTCTTGGAATGAATGCACCCACTCCTTTATAGTCTTTCCATGACTATAACAAAATAGCAGGGGGCTGGAGAGATGACTCAGTGGTTAAGAGCACTGGCTGTTGCTCTTCCAGAGGACCCAGGTTCAAGTCCCAGCACCCACATGGCAGCTCACAACTGTCTATAGCTCCAATTCCAGGGGATTGAACCCCCTTACACAAACGTACATGCAGGCAAAACACCAACGTACATAAAATAAAAATAAATATTTAAAAAAAAAACAAAATAGCAGAAGCAGGTTAACTTTATAAAGAAAAGAGATTTCTCATCTTGTTGTACAGCTGCAAAGGCATTGCACTGGCATCAGCTCAGTTCAGTTCTAGTGTTCCTTGTTCTACCCTGGCCACCCCCAAACCGAAGAGTACACTGTTCCCCAGTGTAGTGCATACTGCGCTGGTGGCCAAGTGAGGTGCTACAGCGATTTGGAACCTGCTCCACTCCAAATTCATACAGTCCTGGGATCCAGAAGAGACTGGCCAGGTTGGGTTTGGTGGACAGTCAGCTGCAGGCTGAAATCTAGGATGTGGGTCTGGGGTCTGGGCTTTCACGTGGGGCCAGCTGGCCTGGTTGAGCTGGGATTACTGAGCAGAACAATAGAGCTCAGAAGCCCCAGTGAGCAGGTTTCACAAGGGAGCAGGATCCGGTTTAGAGATGAGCTGCCAAGGATCTTCTGGAGCTTCCTGACCTAACCACAGCTCCCCCAGCCCCCACCCCACTTCTCAGTGCCTGGTGTCCTTTTCCTACACTTCTTAAGTTCTGCTCAAAGCATCTTTGTTTGAGGCTGCTCAGGTGCTGCCATGGCTCCGCCTTGGTCTTGTTAATTACCTGGGCCTCCACCTCCTCTGTCTTTTAAGTCCCCAGGCCCTCCCCTGACCCCAGTCTTCAGAGGACACCAGGCTTCAAGGGTGAGAGATGGGTCCAAGGGCTGCTAGGAAATGAAAGATAGGGCCCAGAGAGTGAGGCTCCAGGGTTCCTAATGAGGCCTAAGGTGCCTGGATCTCAGAGGCTGCAGAAGCTTGGTTAGAACTGGTCACGTGGAACCTAGGTACCCAAATGTGTGGAGCCTGGGTGTCAGGGACAGGGCTAGGACCAAGTGGAAACTAATGGTAGACAGAACTGCCAGAGGTGCCGAGAGGGGTTGGATGTGGCCGCTGGCCTAGAATGCTCCCTTCTGCTCCCCGTCCTCTCCAGACCAGAGTCCAAGCCTTAAGTAACATTACCTGTGCCCAGGCCAGCCCTGAAGATAGAATGAGGGGTGCTTCCCACCTCCAGATCCTGCTCCTGTTGGTGCTGGGTGAGTGGGGCAAGTGTCAGGGGTGTTGCCGCAGAGCATTGGCTGCAGGCTGCTTGCCTCACCTCTCCCTGAGCCTGGTGCCTCTAGAGCACCGTGGGGCATTCTGGTCTTTCTTCCAATGCATGGTGTCTCTCTGGCGCTGACCTCTCCAAATCTGAGTGTGCTGTACGTATATTGTGCTAATTCCCACTCCAACCTCCCCGTGCTCTGGGGAGGGTGGTAAAGGCTACCAATGGCACAGAAACTTGGCATGAGGTCAGTGTAATAAATATACTCTACCTTTTACCTAATCTCTGACCCGGGCTCTGTTACCTGGCACCAGATCCCTAATTTGGTTCCTTGCCTGCTTCCTCCTACAGGAGCCAGAATGCAGTGGTGTGCAGGTAAGGAAGCCTGGGTACCATCTCTTCCCCAGCTTGGCCCTATCCCCCTTCCTACAACTACTTCCAAGGCCCCGAGGCCCAGCCAACCCTCACTGCCCACTTGTCCTGTCGCAGCTTGTGGGCAGCCCCGTATGTCCAGCCGAATCGTGGGGGGCCGGGATGCTCGGGATGGAGAATGGCCATGGCAGACAAGCATTCAGCACCGTGGAGTCCATGTGTGTGGGGGGTCACTCATTGCACCCCAGTGGGTGCTGACAGCAGCTCACTGCTTCCCCAGGTCAGCAGGCACTCTCTATTCCAGCTCCATAAAAAAAAAAAAAAAAAAAAAAAAAAGGCCGGGGGGAAAGTGGAGGTGTGGCCTAGGGAGGTGTGGGCGGTGCTGGCTCCCGACAGGCTCCAGGGCCCACACACGGTCAGCAGCCCCCATGTCTATTCTGCAGATGGACACTGCCATCAGAGTACAGCGTGCTCCTGGGAGCACTGAGTCTGGGTGTCACATCATCCCCGGAGCTCTTGGTTCCTGTATTGCGGGTGCTGCTGCCCCCTGACTTCTCTGAGGACGAGGCCCGTGGTGACCTGGCACTGCTGCAACTGCGACACCCGGTGTCCCTGAGTGCCCGAATCCAGCCTGTCTGCCTGCCTGCACCAGGATCCCATCCACCACCAGGGGCTCCATGCTGGGTCACTGGCTGGGGTAGCCTCAATCCAGGAGGTAAAATTCATAGTCAGGCTATGGGAACTGGGGGGCACCCCATTCTCCTGCAGCTCTGACTGTGAATCCTGGTCCCACTGTAGGACCCCAGCCATGTATGGGAACTCAAATTTCCCTCCACTCCGACTCAAGGAGTGCTGGCTGGCAAGTCAGCCCCTCCCACTGTCTTTTCCCGCTGAACCCACTTCAAGCCATGCTGTCTCCTGATTCTCAGATCTCTCCCTCTTCTCTCAGTGCCACTCCCAGAGGGGCGACCCTTACAAGGAGTGAGGGTGCCACTACTGGACTCTCGCTCCTGTGACCGCCTCTACCACGTGGGTGCCAATGTGCCCCAGGGTGAGCGCATAGTGCTACCAGGGAACCTGTGTGCTGGCTACCGCAGGGGCCATAAGGATGCCTGCCAGGTGTGTCTGTAACCCACACCCTCTGGAGTCGGTTTCCCGGTCTCTTACCTCCCTAGAACCCAGGACCCAGGAGGTTGCAGACTCCCAGCCTAGGGCTGCCACCCCCAGAGAACTGGACCTAGAAGGGTGGCCCTGAAAAGCTGGAGGAGGGCTGTGACCTGAGCTCACCTTTTTTCTGCAGGGTGACTCTGGAGGACCCCTGACCTGTATGGAGTCTGGCCGCTGGGTCCTAGTGGGTGTGGTGAGCTGGGGTAAGGGCTGTGCCTTGCCCAACCGTCCAGGTGTCTATACCAATGTGGCCAAGTACAGTACCTGGATCCGGGCTCACATGAGCCTCTGATACTGGCGGATTCGATAATGCGAATCTGGAGCTTCCTGGCCCATCCTACACTGAGGCTGAGATGCTGAGTCCGTCTGCCCATCCCCCTGCCTCCTCTCTTCCCTGAGGCACGGTCTTCTGTCACTGGGAATTTTCTGAGTTCCCGCAGCTTCTCTTCTGCTCTCTCCTTTCGGCATTTCCTTCTTTCGGCTTTAGAGAAGGGAGACCAGCTGGTGGTTCGTCTGACCTGTGTGCCCTTTGTTTCCCTGGAGAAGTCAGACAGATTCAAAGCATAAGAGGGACTCAGCACCAGAGAGAATCTCCATTGTCAGGCATTGCGAGTAGCACAAGGCAGTGACAGCCAGCAGGAGAGAGAAATCTGTAATCACCATCCTGCCGACACTCAGGAGACTGGATACAAATTTCCCCCGTCTTCTTAATCTCTTAGCTTCACACTGGGAAAGCCCTCAACAGAGAACTCAACTGAGCCACCCACGCTTTTGATCCACGGATTTTTGATTTAATAAATTTATGTTGTTTTAAGCTGCTACCTTTGTGGCAATTTGTTACATGGCCATAAAATCTAGTCTACATAGGTTTCTCCCCACTGTGATGCAGACATAAAATCTAGTCTACATAGGTTTCTCCCCACTGTGATGCAGACATGCCAGAGGGAAGCATACCCGCCCTCTGTGCTCCAGGAAGCCCAGGAATACTCACACCAATAGACAGGTCAGCTCCTGGAGCATCAGGAAGAAGAGAAACAGAAAGAGATCCGGAGAATTTCAAAGCCTTCTCTGAGGAGCTAACAATGAGGAGGCAGAAAATGTGGTAGAGAATGATCAAAGGCCTGAATGTGTCTATTTCTTCCCCTCTCCTTCCTCTCCCCTGTCTCCTCCTGTGCCAGGAATCCAGAGGACAGTGCTAGGTAGATCAGGAAAGGCTGCAGAGGGGCAGAGCTCAAGGTTGCTCTTCCTGCCCAAGGCTAAGAGCAGTCCACTCTGGAATAGAACTGGTCCATCTTTAGCAGGATGGCAGGGACAAGGGTGCCCAGGACAGGACATCCTACAAATGGCTATGTGCATACCTATGGCAGGACCCTGGAGCTCCTGCTGGGAAGATGCTGACTGCTCACAATGTCACTGTGAGGGCAACACCCAACTCCCTTCTCCATTACCTACCACCACCATCATCCTTGCCTAGAGCCAGCCAACCCTGCAGGAAGCCTAAGATGGCAGCACCTGAGGCAACACTGTAATGAGAACAACCTCAGGGCTAGGGCTTGCATAATATAAATCACAAACCCTATCCAGACAGCCCGGTATTCCTAAGGTCTGACCAGGTCGCCAGAGAGATTGTGGAAGCAGAGAACTAGGCAGGGATCAGTTAATGACACCCTTGCTCCTTGTGATGTGTGCTTGAATGAGGGGAGGGAGGGGCTCCCTGTACCACTTCGTCAAAGACTTGGTTTTCCTGTTTGCCAAGTGAGAAATATGGTGCCCAGAGCCACAACGGAGGCCAGTTACAGCTGGCAGGGTGGCAGAGCAGTTATTCTACCTCTGCAGTCTGCTTTTCAGAGTGTCCCATTGCTTTCTGCACTATATCTGGCCTCCTAGCCCACTCCTGGGTTGTCAGATCTCAGGTCCACACTGTCTGTTGGACCGTGTGTGACAGCAAAGTGGATCTAAGGCATGACCACCTGAAGCTCACAGTCGCAGCCTAGCCACCGGCCACTGCCCTTCCCTTCACGCCTGATGCACTAGTGGACAGGATGGGAGACTTGGGACTAGGTGACCGCAGTGAAGACCAATGAGGGATGTTGTGCATGAGGGAAAGAGATTTCAGAGGGCTCCTGAGGAGCCAGAGGCTTCTAGCTCAAATAACAATTGTCAGTCATACCTTAGCAATAGATACTGAGTGCAGAGGCTTGCGGAGGCTCCGTACCTACTACTTCTGAGAACGTAGCTCAGTTGGTATTGTGTTTGCCGGACCTGCATACATAAAGCCCTAGTTTTGATCTCCAGAACCCCATAAAACTGGGCATGATATATACCTCTATAATCCCAGCATTTGGGAGGTGGAGGCAGGAAGATCAGAAGTGCAAGGCCATCCTCAGCTACATAGAAAGTTCAAAGCCAGCCTCGGCTACCTGAGACCCTATCTCAAGACAAAAAGAAAAACTTCACAGACTTGTTATCTCCCTGAGTCCCTCTACTGAACCCAGAGCCTTGTACACGCTAGGCAAACACACAAACCCCAGTCCTATTCTCTCATATTAGAGAGAATTGACCCAGATGAGGTTAACTGCTCAAAGACGCAGGGTTCCCTGGGGAGCAAGCCTAGGCACAGTGTAATGGAGCTGAGCCTGCGGCACAGGGCACAGTGGCAACTGAACCAAGGCATGAGATGAGAGAGTGAAGACAGTTCAATGCTGGTAGCGGGCGGGAGCCCTGTGGAGCTCCCCTTACACAGTGTCTCACAGAAGGAAAGCAGAAAGGAGAATTTACTGGAGGACTCACCAGAGTTAACCCCAGAAGGACCTGGCATCACATGAAGAGTTTGAGATCTTCATGTGAACAGTTTGAGATCACGCTTTATAACCGCACTCCCTAAAGAAATTTTTTGAGAGCTGGGTGGTGGTGGTGAACACTTTTAATACTAGCACTTGGCAGGTAGAGGTAGGCAGACCTCTGTGAGTTCGAAGTCAGCCTGGTCTACAGAGCGAGTTCCAGGACAGCTAGGACTACACAGAAAAACCCTGTTTTCAAAAAACTAACAAATAAATAAGCAAACAAACAAAGAAGTAAATAAACAGAAGCCAGAGAACTAGCTCATTGGTTAAAATAGCCCATCTGTCATAAGACAGAGTTTGACTCCTAACAGCACAGCCGCCAGTCCACGAGCACCTGCAGCTCCAGCCACAGGAAACTCTTGGCCTCCCCAGGCACTGCGCTCACAAGCACACACCCCACACATATAATTTAAAATAATAAAAATGCTAAAGTAGGGTAGGAATGCCTCTATCAGAGAATTTAGTATTACAGAAGGATCATAGTGAGCAAAATTCACTCTAGACAGATGTGTGGTACACCTTTAATCCCAGGACTAGGTAGGTAGAGGCAGGCAGATCTCTGAGTTCAAGGCCAGCCTGGTCTACAGAGCAAGTACCAGGACAGCCAGAGCTACACAGAGAAACGCTGTTTTGAAAGTAAGGAAGTCCACATTTGCTATAAACACAATCAGTTAGCATTGAGTTCCTACCTACAATCTCAGACCCCGCCCACCCTCAAGGACCCTAGAGCTTCAAAGCTGTGTGGCGTTTAGGACCATCCAGATCACGGAGTCCCCTCCAAAAATAACCAACTAGGAGACTGAAGCCTGTATGTAAAAGCAAAAAGCCTTTATTCTCACACAAGTTTACAAACTCGGACTCTCCGTGTATCTAACATATTGGAATGATGGGAGAGACCCGGGCTCAGTTGGGGTTGGGTTTTTATAGTAGCAAAAGTGGGGGTGAGGGATTTCTAAGGTTCAGGACCCCTGATTGGCTGACATTGTCTAGGGGTGTCCTGGTGAAAAGTGATGGGTGTGTGTTGGCAGGTGATTCTGTCTACAAGGGTTGGAACGTTAGGAATTTCCTTTGGATGATCTAGTCCTGGGTGGTGCCAGCTTATGGCTTTTCCTGGAGCCCTGTGCTGTCTGTTAGGGCAGCTGTGAGGCCTGGGGCCCACACCACTAGCCTTGTCTAATCCCAGGAAGTGTACCTGAGAAGAAGAAATAAAGTTTTTCTTTTTTTTTTTCTTTTTCTTTTTCTTTTTTTTTTTTTTGAGACAGGGTGCCTGTCCTGGAATTAACTCACGTAGACCAGGCTGGCCTTGAACTCACAGAGATCTGTGTGCCTCTGCTTCCTGAGTGCTGGGTGCCTCCACCAAGGAATAAAGATAATCTTATTTTATTTAGTATGTACACAGTGTCCTGCCTCCATGTATGCCTGCAGACCAGAGGAGGGCACCAGCTCTCACTGTAGATGGTTGTGAGCCACCATGTGGTTGCTGGGATTTGAACTCAGGACCTCTGGAAGAGCAGTCAGCATTATTAATCTCTGAGCCATCTCTCTAGCCCTGAAATGAAGATAATCTTAAGAGTCACTTGTGACCCTCTCTTTGGCTATCAGACTGTTAAAGCAATGGTCCCCAATTAATCAGAATTCTCCCAAGAATCTCACGTTGGAATAAGGAAAAGACTTGTCCTGAAACATGAAACAGCTCATCAACCCATCTTGTAGGAGAGACTGCAGCTGAAACAGTGGGAGTCAAAAGATGGGCCATACCTTGCCTAAAACAGCTCATCTCTTCCACTTCAGCTTCACCCCTGTCAAGAACTCCACCCAGCCTTGGGAGAGTTACTGGACCTCTCCCTCACACGGCCACACTAAATAAATCTGTCTTTGCTTTGTGCTTTCCACTGTTTGTTTGTGTAGCCATGGGCCAGCCATGATAAGCTAAATAGGAGCAGACCACCCAAAGGAAGTTCTTAAATTCCAACCAATCACCTGCCTGAGTAGGACTCAGCCATGATAAGTTTAATGAAGGCCTGAGTCTCAGTAGTTTACCCTGAAGCAATACCTGGTTGCAAGAAGAACCACAAACTGAGATTACCTGAGCATCACCCAGGAACAGACCATCCAAAGGAAATGCCTAACGTTCCAACCTCCGTAGATAGGATCACCTGCCAGCACACACTCACCAGGACACCCCTAGACAAATGTCAGCCAATCAGGGGTCCTGAACCTCAGAAACTCCCTCACCCCCACCTCTACTACTATAAAAACCCAACTCTAACGGAGTTCAGTGCTCTCTATTTATTCCAATACGTTGGATATGTGGAGAGACTGAGTTTGCAAGCTTGCATAAACTAAAGTCTCTTTGCTTTTACATACGGGACTCAGTCTCCTTGTTGGCTTTTGGGGGACTTTGCGGATTTGGGCATAACAGTTCGCTTGTTTGTCTTTCGACAGAGGGTTCCTCTGTGTAATGTCCTGGAACTCACTCGGTAGACCAGGCTGGCCTCAAACTCCCGAGTGCTGGGATTATTGTGATCAGGTAGGTGGCCAAGCCTAGCTAGTCGGGCTTTGACCTTAATAACCATAGCACCAGTCCTATAAAACCAGAAGCTTCTCTAGCTCCTAACAGGTCACAAAGCATGCCTGAATTGAGTTTAACAAACCCTTAGAGCCAAGCCTGAGGCTGGATGAGAGCAAGGTACAGTGGTAATAAGATCCAAAATTGGACATCTCAAAATGTGTGTAAAGTTACCCCCTCGCAACCCTTGCATGAGCTGGACCTTAAATAAATGTGGGCTAGAGATGATTAAGATGATTAATAAATGTGGGTTCAGTGATTAAGAGGCCTTATCTTGTCTTCCAGGGGCTAGCTAGGCTCCATTCCAGCACCCACGTAGCGGCTCCCAACCGGCTGTAACCCCAGTTTCAGACGACCCGACGCCCTCTGCTGGCCTCCCCAAGCATTGCATGTTACTGGTGCACAGCCATAAATGCAGATAAATCACTAATAAAAATTTGTTTTTAGGACCGATGCACTTGAATCGTTCTCCCTGATTCTCTCTCTACACTCCAAAGCAAGCCGCGCTTACGCCTCAGACCCATGAGCCAGCAATACTAGCGTCTCAGCCTTTGCCCAGCGGTAAGTCTAGAGACACCGAGATGGCGGCCACGCACAGCAACCGCCTCCGGAACGCGTAAGATGGCGGGGACGGCATGGGAGGGGCTGCGG